TTTATCCACAAAACTAAGTGGTGGCTGAATAAGCTCTTATTATGAACCAACTTCAATTTAGCAGCAAAAACCATCAGGGACTGATGGTCAAAAATCAAGCCACAGTGTAGAGAGCAGGAACTGGTGTGAATTGGAACTGCACTTTCACCTGAATCCTCTGGCATGTAAATATTTTTCCCTATAGTTTCAATATCTCTGACTCTTAAACACTGACACTTGAATGGGAATAACCCTAATCTCTGCCTTTCCTATTCCAGGAACAGTCCACTTTCTACATACATACACACACAGCAAACCCAAAAAGGGATGTTAAAAACCCATAGGATACTAAAGAGAATCAGATAACTAATCCATATACTAAACACATAACATGTAATTCAATAAGAATAATCCAACACTATCCATTTATTCAGTTCTTATCAATGCTAGGATGAACTCAATGATGTCTTCATTTCACACTTCTTCTATTCCCAGTAATTAACATTCAATAGAGAAACTCAATGGTTCTGACCAGAATCAGTGGATAGACTTTTTATTGATCTTAATTTACAGTAAGCAATCCCCCCCCCCCCAATGATTTAAATATCTAAGGCTAGCCATCAGGAATATTGGCGCTAGAAGTAAATGTTTAGAACTAGATCAGATCTTTTGTTTGAATGTATTATTTTATAAGTATTCTTAACTTATTTTATAAAATCTCTCACAATTCTAAAAATATGGTAATATCATTTTTAGTAATATCAAATACCTAATATCACGTACCGGTAATTCTTTTAGTGTGTCACAATGATACTTCTAACTGCTTAAGTCTTATACAATCAGAGAAAGACACTGAGAAACAGTCCTATAAAATGGGCTCTAATACTTTCTTAAAAACACAGTGAATTGCTTCACATAAACATTATTATCTATTTAAAAAACAGCTCTCATTATTATAGAGAACGAAAAACACATTAAGAGACTGCTAATTTTTCAAGCTTGGCAACTAAGATGTATAGACTTCAACTCCTGGAATTCCTCAGCCAGCATTCAGCACACTTTAAAGTTGCCAAGTTTGAAAAGCACTGATCTATAACCTAACAGGAGACTAAAAGCAGACTTAAATATCACCGCAGGTATATCTCATTACTTTCTTCTATTTATCCAATTACAGTTGGCCAACGGTCCACTGCCAGAAATCTGAAAGTATACCGAAACATTCTAATAATCTCAACTCTTATTATATATAAATTGCCTTTGAAATCAAATTTAAATTATCTTTACCATATCATTTTAACATTTAAATTAGAAAGCAAATCATGAAGATGCATAACAACAGCAGAGAAAAATGTTCTATAATACTGTTTCATTGCCTTAGAATATAGATGTTTCCGTGAACTAGTACAATGGAAGAAGCTGAAACTGTGATGCTACATCCATTGGGAAAATAAAAAAAAAACATTCTCCAATATGAAAAAAGTATTAGCCACACATTATCAACTCATGAACATGAATATTTTATTCTCCAAGATACTGAAAAAGATCCTTTCTTATGATACATTTTCTATAATTGTAGGGAAGGATGAATATTAGAAAACTATTCTGTCTTTCCTCCTCATTTCTATTTGAGTATTGTATTTGCAACATTGCGAAAGTATGCAGGCATCTACAGGAAGTCACCCACAAGGTATAAATGAATACTCAAGGCTTTAAACCCTTTAAACCCTGTAAGTTTTAAAATGTTAAAAAACATGGACACAGCATTTCCCCTATTGTTTCATACTTTAACAATACTTTTAAAGGTGTGCTTAAGATCTAAAATGAGAGTTAATTGAAGGTGAAGATGTTGGCCCAGAAATCCAATGACTTTTGAGTTCTAGTCACACTTTCACTCTCTCTCGGCCCAATCTCACAGGATAGTTGTTGTGGGAAAAATAAATAAAAAAGAAATTGCCCTGTTTGCCACCTTGAGTTGCATATGAAAAAAAGCAGGATAAAAAATATTTTTTAAAAAAAATGCACTTTCAAAGAGTATACTTATAGAAATGGCAAACTATACTTTTAGTATTAGCACTCCTTAGTATTATTAGTGCTACAAGAAAAAGTCCTATACAAAAAAATGTAAGTTAGCGTATTTAATTAAATTATGCTTTATAACTAGTCACATATGCTGCAGAAGGGTTAATGATATGTATATCTCCTGATGGTTCTCCAGGGAGCAATTTGCTGATTCAGCTCCATTACATCAGACACAATAAAAATGTCTGTTGACCAAAAAGCCAGGCCTGGTTCTCTTCAAACACTATCACACAAATAACCAGTGAATCATTCTCTCTTCTCTCTCAGCACTAGCACAGCTAATTCTTTAGCAGCTATTTATATTTAAGTCAAAGAAAAAACTTGCATGAAGCAGCAGAAATGTATAGAGGCAAGTCTAATAAATTATTACAGCCAGCTGTAAAGGAATAGATAGCATCTGGCTTTAGCTACTGTTAAAATCCACTCCTCTCCCAGAGCAAAAGGAAAAAAGAAAGCTTTCTAGGAAGCCCATTTAAAGAAATGTATTTTGTAAATTCATTTGCTTATGCCATTTAATCAGTTAAGAACATTGTCATTTTGTAATAAACTTAAGATTTATTACCTTTAAATCAGAAATAAATAAAAATGTAGTTAAAATCTTCACTTTCCCCACAGGATTAAAAATGGAGGAGGAATATCTTTATTCAGGAATGCTTAGGACAAATATGCAACTGCTTCTACTTAACGCTGTAATTTTCTTAAACCAGCTTTCCTTTTCTATACCATCCCATTTTAATTTTTTTCAAATTGAAGAAAGAGCTACATAAAAGTAGCTTGGTATTTTGAGGCATATCTCAGACAAAAATACATCTGAAGTAAAGGGTTTACTCCTTTAACTCCCAATTATTAAAAGAAAAACTTTGATGGATTAAATTAAACAATCTTTTGTTAAGACATTCTTTGTAATGGTTGCAACTGCCAATACAAATAGCTGGATAAAGGACTAAAGATATGGATTATTCTGACACAAAAATGAATGTTTATATTCTCAAATGCTTATTTTGAGAAGATATAAAATTACTCACAATTTACTCCAACTATTCCATATTAGTTTGATAATAACGTGTATAATCTAAAGATTGGCTATTGTTTTTTCTATGAAGCTTCTCCATGAAAGAAAGTTTGCGTAGGGCAGGAGAATGAAGGGACAAGCCTCAAGATAATGTGTGAGACAAGTGAACACATAAACAGTCCAAAAGGCAGAGCACCCATTAGAGAAGTTAAATATAGACTGATGACTTAAAAGGGGCAGAATGCAAAAGACCTGGGTAAAGAGATTTACAATACACTACAATAGATTACAATTCAAGAAGTCACTTTCAATTTTCTAAGTGCAGGCAAATATTGATGAGATGAGTAACAAACAAATTTCATAAATAAAACAAATTAATGTCAGCAATTGTTTATTATTTACTGTTTTCTCTAACATGTGATCCTTGCTTAACAACTCAGCCTCTAATAGGCCTGAAGAAATGGTAACTACAATTGGTCCTCATTCTTACAAAGGATGCAGCATCCTGTGGTTAATCACCATTTGCAGCCTTCTTTGTCAGCTTCCTACAAGCAAAATCAATCAGGAAGCCAGGAAGAGATCAGAAATAGCGATCTCCTAATTTAATAACAGGATGCATTCAACAGCAGCAACCAGAAGTGCCAGAATTTGTGGAATACACAGCATGGTACTTTGACATCACACTTTATAACCACATTACTTAACAACAGGAATTCTGTTCCCAATTACTGTTGTTAAATGAGTAACTGTTGACATATCTTGGAAGTAGCAAGATGAATAGGAGTACAAAAATACAAATAAAATGACATGAGGAACTTACACATACACACACACACAAACACACACATTCTTGACTGCACTAAAGATTCAACCCTTATTGTGTAGAAGCAAGCAGTTCATTTGCACATTTATGCCTCATCCGTATGCCATTTGTGGTTCATAGAGTGGAGTGGAGCAACTCAGGCCAGGAAGTTATACTTCACAGTAATCATTTTATAATCTTATAATTTTAATGTTTTTAATCTTAAATTAACTTTGATATTTGAATTTATTTACTGTTTATATGCTGAAATATACCACCCTCTTTCAAGGAGCTGGGTGGTATAGAAAGATGAAATATAAATAAATAAATAAATTGTATTGCTAGGGTATGTTGTAGGGGTCAATGAAAAGATAGAAGCGGTTTAGAATAGAAGATTGAGAACTAAATGGTAATTTTGATTTTGATTTCATGTCATTGCAAGTATTTTCAAGGCTGCTCAACTCAAACCATGGTCATTGCCTAATCATTCTTAACTTTATATCAGCTTTATATGACTTTAACATGCCCAATCAGCGCATCTCAGAATAATTCTTGGATATATTTCCTCCACAAACACACTCTGCAAAATCTTTTGATAATTTTTCTTATGGTTGTTTGAAAAAAAATATCTTTTTTTGAAGCATATTCAAAAGGGTCACTAGAATGAGCAACCAAAATTAAAAACTATTAAATGATACACTCCAACATAACAGATTCTTGTATAAAAAAGACAAGATGGATTTTTTTTGAGGACCTAATAATATAAATTACATAATTTCCTTAAGCAGACCAACAGAATTCCGGAAATGAAAAATAATAAAATACATAGAAACTGACATCATCTGAAATCAAATTAACTGAGGGATATGCTGTTACAAATTTAACAAGTAAAAGTTGCTAAATACTGTATCTCCATTGATTAAAAAAACCTTGCTGATGGAATAAAATAAAATGAGAAGAATTTAAGAATTTAAGACATGTCTTATATTCATCTATAAATGTAATAATTTTATTTATAATTCAAGAGAGATGTATAATTAAAATCTTAATCTTTGAACCCGTTTTCTTGAGTTGTATAGTACACTTAATATTTTTAAATAAATATATACCATCTGAACTATTACTTACCCCTGTTTTATCACAAAGTCGTAAAGTGTGAAAGGATCCAACAGCAAATAATTCCCCATCCAAAGCCCAAGCAACAGAAGTGATGGGATATTCATGTGACACTGAGCTATACAGCAAACGACCATAGCTATCCCAAACCTATTTTATTAAAGAACAAAAACCAAAGATTTGTATCATGATGTGATTTCATTTCAGTGAGACTATGTAGTTTGTTTTTGCACCCATGTAAACTGATATTAATGTAATTTTTATTCAAAACTTAATAAATTTAAAATTCCCAATCGAAGTATTTATTCTTGAATATGTTAGTACATTTAAACTGAATAGTTTCAAATATATATATATAATATATATATATAATGAACAGACATGATTTTTTACAATTTTTAATTCAAAATTTTAACTCTAACATTTTAATTTTTATATAGTTTTATATTCTGATGTTTTATTGCATCTGATGTTTTATTGCATATTAGGTTCTTTTATTTAACTGCACTTATGATAGTTAATTGCATACTTTAATAAAATTTTGGAAAGAATGCATACCTTATATTTACAGTCTTCCCCAGCTGACAAAATAAGGTCATTGACAGCATTCCAATCAACTTTTAGAATAATTCCATCATGAGCTTTCCACTGGGAACAAATAGGAAGAAGAAATATATTTAAAATAAAGCTTATAATAATGCAACAATTAAGTTTTATATCAAAAGCTGCATTGATGTTGTCACTACCAACTGACAAGTACAGGTGTTCTTCAACAGGAAGTCCTAGATAAATAGAGAAGTGTGTCTTTTATTAAGAGCTAGAAATGCTGCTTTCCACTCTGGTGATGCGCTACAGTATAGCAAAGCAAAAGCTAAATTGAAAAAGGGCATTAGAGACGGTAAAGCTACAGACAGACAGAGGATTGAACATCTTTTTGAGAACTCGGACTCTCATCAGGTATGGCAGGTTCTGCGACAAATCATGGGGCAGAGCAATAAAAATAGTTTGTCCAGCAGTAATGACTACTGCTGGACAGTACTACTCCTACTACTGCGGAACAGCTAAATCAATTCTTTAGCCATTTTGAGGTGGAAACAGGAACGACCATCATTCCAGTATCTATCACTGATAGTACACTACTAACACCTACTATCGATAGACAACCACTTCCACTGCAGATCTCTGATGTGAGACGCGCTTTCCAGAAAGTTAACATCTGGAAGGCAGCTGGGCCTGATGGAATCATTGGACGAGTTGTTAGGGACTGCGCTGCAGAGCTAGCTGGACTGTTCACGGATATTTTCAATCTATCGCTGTTGCAATGTTCTTCTATCCCTACCTGCCTGAAGACATCCATTATAGTGCCAATCCCTAAGCAGACAGTAGTGGTATCTCTTAATGATTATAGACCAATAGCTTGAACATTTGTTATCGTGAAATGTTTTGAGAGACTGGCATTGAACTATATTAAGGCTAGTTTTCCATCTACTTTGGACCCATACCAATTTGCATATAGGAGTAATAGACCAACTGATAATGCTATGCCTATTGTTGTCCATACTGTATTAAATCATTTGGAACAACAGGGAACATATGTAAGGTTGCTATTTGTGGATTATAGCTCTGCCTTTAACACCATTCTACCCAATAGGTTGTTTCTTAAAATGTTCAATTTGGGTATAAATCAGAGGATTTTTTTTGTGGATAAAGGATTTTCTGACAGATAAACCACTGTCAGTAAGGATAGGATCTCACCATTCTTCA